TGGGAGGTGGGGGGGAAGACAAAAAGCCAGAACATATGGGAAAATATGGGGAACCTTTTTATTTGTGTGTATTTATTTGTGTGTCCCAGGGCCCCTTCACTGTTGCAGCGGCTCCTTCCCTGAAGAAGGAGCCCACACCTCCCACACTTCCCAAGATATTGATGAGTGCGCTGTGGAGCCACCAAAACGCTGCTCGAGCCAGCCGCTATGACTATGACGATCGAAGTCGCAGTGTTTCGTGTGAAGCGAGCGGGGCCATATGTACACATGGTGATGAGTATGCTGATGATGCTGATAATCGATGACCGATGATAATGATCGATGATGATGATGATGATGATGATGATGATGACGACGACGACGATGACGATGACGATGACAATGACGATGACGATGATGACGACGACGAGGATGATGTTGATGTGATGATGGTGATGGTGATGGTGATGATGATGATGATGATGATGATGATGATGATGATGATGATGATGATGATGATGATGATGATGATGCTGATGCTGATGCTGATGCTGATGCTGATGCTGATGCTGATGCTGATGCTGCTGATGATGATGATGGTGATGATGATGGTCATCGTGTGTACCAGAGCCGGCAGCTGTTCGTAGCTCTGGGATTGCCACAACAAGCGCCACCCCGCCGAATGTTAGGGAAATCGAACCGCCATCGAGCAGTGCCTGCGGGAGCAACGTGCTTCCTGCCTTGACGACGCGGTGCACCGCGTGAACGGCGCAGTCTTGAACGTCAGTAAGAACCAAGCGGAATCCCACATTCCGCCGGGATCCTGGGAAACCGATGTGAAAATTTCACAGAATTCAAGTATCGTTCTGGAACCTCTGGACTCCTCCGTAGGAGGCGTACGCAAACTTAGGGAACCCCGAGGATCCCAAAGTAATATGAAGAAGTCTCATGCGCCCTCAGGAACCCAGAAAGAATGTTAGGAGTCCTTCTGGACCCTAAGAAGCCGAAGGAGTCGTGAGGAGCCTTGAGGAATCCTCTGGAATCCAGAACAATCCTGAGGAATCGCACGGGGCCCTAAAGAAAAGCTATCGATGCCAACACACTCCTGCGTTGTACATGCAATGGCGCTTATTGAAGCCGACTCTTCAGGAACTCTCAGGAATCCATAATACTTCTACATAATCTACAGAACCCAAAGGGATCCGGAGGAATCGCACAGGATCCTGAGGAATCCTATGGTATCCACATGGGCCCGAACAAAATCACAAGCCATCCCAAGGAATCGCAGAAAATCCTGAGAGATCCCAAGACATCCGAGAGAATCCAGAGGAACCCTCGTAGGAAACTTCACGAACCCCGAAGGGGTCATAAGACAAATCTTAAGGACTTCGAAGGGATCCCTCAGAACCCGAATGATCCCCCAGGTAATCTAAAGAATCCTGATGAGCCTTGAGGATTTCAACAGAATCCTCAAGAATCCTACTGGATCCGACGGGATCCTGCGGAATACGCATGGGGCCGACATCCTGGCGAATGCAGCAGCGTCGGTAGGAATTCCTGCCGCATCCACAGGGGATGCTCTGGAATCCCGCGGAATCCTGTGCCTTGGCATCGCTCGGACGTGTGCATTTTTCCTTCGGCGAGGACCATCGAGGAGCATCTTTGATCATTTGGCGAAAAAACCACGCACGAAACCGACAAAAAACACAGGGAATGGACGTCCGAGCGATGGCGAGGTGCAGCCCCGAGGGATCCTCGGGGGCCACCAGCAATCCAGCAGCTCCCTCGGGGGACGGACGGCCACCCGGGGGAGCTGCTGGGTTGCTGGTTGCGGAAGGGAGGAGGAGGAGGAGGAGGAGGAAGGAGAGGAGGAGGAGGAGGGGAGGAGGAGAGGAGGAGGAGGAGGAGGAGGAGGAGGGGGAGGCGGAGGCGGAGGCGGAGGCGGAGGCGGAGGAGGAGGAGGAGGAGGAGAGGAGGAGGAGGAGGAGGAGGAGGAGGAGTGAGGAGGAGGAGGAGGAGGAGGAGGAGGAGGGGGAGGGGGGTAGGGGAGGCGGAGGCGGAGAAGGAGCAGGAGGAGGAGGAGGAGGAGGGATCTGGAGCCGTAGGTCCCGTCTAGATCGTGCGCCTGGACCCTCGAGGGGCCATGGGCCCGATTTTGAGATGCCGTCGTCTCAACTCGCCCTCCGAGCGCCACGCGTAAGAGTGACCTTCCGTCGGAGTGAAGTTGAAAACCTTCAGCCGGCCTCCCATGGATCAAGGCGGACAAGGGGGTTGAGAGGGGGGAAAGGGAAATGGGGGGTTACGAAACGTGGTTTCGGCCCCGCCGCCGGGTGCTTTTCTCTGGCGCATCTGGCGCCGGAACGCGAGCTAGGTGAGATGATTCCCAACTTTCCATCTGCTCTCCCCCTTTTCATCCGATCCGAGCAGGTTGCTCGCGCTGTGCCGAACAAGTAAACACGCCGTTCGACCCCAACAAGCGGACGCTATTCGGGAATGGTGTTTCCCGCTGCGCAGCGTCTCTGTTACACTACAGGCAGTATATATTACACATGTTATGTGTTCTGAATCATGGGTAGAGCGCGATGACGTGACACATTCGTTACGGTGATGACCCTTGGGGGGGCGCTACGGCATAACGTTGCGCGTTAGGTGGCATGACAGAGTGAGAGGGCCGAACAGTATTATACCATCCCTGGATGCGTGCCTGAAGTGGGCTTCCGTGGTGACGTGGTGTGTTGTCTGTTGTCGTCGTCGTCATCGCCCGCGGCCCGCCCGCGACCCATCAGCCCGCGACGCACCCGCGACACACCCGCGACGCCAGACTGTTTCTAAACCGAGGAAGCCGAAGACAAACCGCGGAAAAAAAAACAAATTGAGGATAACATCCAAGCCGATGACAAAAAAAACAAACCAAGAAAGCCTTTCAAATCAGGGAACACGCATACTGAGGAACAACAATTCAAACCGAGGGAAGCAACACATAGGAGGAAACTACAAACCGAGGAAAGCTCAAACTGAAAAACAAACGTAAGGAATTCGATTGATTTTCGGGTTGTTTCTGGTTAGAATCCTATTGGAGTCGTTCGAGATCCCACAACATTTTGATAACGTCAGGATAACAGAGGCTTGCCGGGGTCAAACCCACATCGATGGGGAACAACAAGCATAGTCAGGGAAAACATCGAATCGAGGCGAACCCACGCAGAAGAACAAGCGTAACTAATAGTGTTATACATGTGACTGTGAATCCGGATGAAATCCGGTTGGTGTCGCGAGTGGTTATACAGGTTAGTGTTTGAGATCTCGAGGGGGACGAAGGCACGCCGAGGGCATCCGATTGTAATCACTCGGACCTTACAGGGCTCCGAAGATACCTGAGGCATCCTGCGGGATCCAGGAAAACGGGAGGAAGCATGTAGATTTCTGAGCAACCCTGAGGAATTTGGTAGAATCCAAAGGAAGATGTCGGCTCGGATGGATTCGTGAGTCTTGAAGACCCCCAGAGACTTTCATTGATTCATGAGAAATCCTGATCAAATCCCCCAGAATCCCACGGATTCCGTAGGAAACCTGCTGAATCCCAAGGGTCTCTGAGGATGCCTGAGGAATTTGGAGGGGTCCTGATGATCCCCGAGGAGGTAGAAGGAGTCCTTCGAGGTCCCTGGGGCATCGTGAGGGCTCCTGAGGGCCTCCCTGGGCGATCTTCGATTTTGAGGGGTTCCTTGGGATTCCTAGGGAATCCTAGTCCTGAAGATTCCGAAGGTCCTGGAGATTCTCAGAGTCATTGGGGAATCCTGCGGAATCCTGCGGCGTCTCGAGACATCCAGAGGAGTTCTGAGGGTTCCTGTTGAGTCCCAAGACATCTTGGGATCCCTGAGAAGTATTATTGAATGTTGAGGGATTCCACAGAAGGTTCTTTGGGAATCCTGAAAATCCGGAGGCATCATGAGGAAACCACAGGTGTTCCGAGGTCTCTGGAGGCTTCCGCAGGATCCCTACGGAGTGCCACATTCGTTGGGTGTCTGTGGTGTCTTTGGAGGCCACGTTGCTCGTGATCGTCGTTTCAGGTGTTCTTCAGTTTGGGTGTTGCATCGGTCCGTTTTCGTTCCTCTGCTTGTTTTTTCCTCGGTTTGGGTGTTTTCTCTGTAGGGGGGGCCTCCCCGCGATCCACCTGCAACCCACGCGCGACCCACCGGTATTGCTATGACTGAAATTCGGCGCCTGCGGCGGGCTCGGCGCCTCCGACAATAAGTGAATTTGGCCTTGAGAGGAGGGCAGGAAGTAGTTCCAGTGGAACATATCCGTGGCGACGAGAGCAGCCAGGGACGAGAGTTAGGACTACAGTGTGCAACAGGACGAGAGGACGCGATCTCGAGCCTGGAAGCCCATGAATGCTGCGGGCGGCGGGGTCCCCCATCCTGGATCTTCTTGGGTTGGGGAGGAATGTGGCTGTCCATCTTCAGGCTATGGCGAGATAATTCCAGTGGAATCGAGCCGTGGCGACGAGAGCAGCCAGGGACGAGAGTTTGGGTTACCATGCACGAGAGGACGGCGGACGAGAGAACGAGAGGACGCGCGCGCGGGGCCGCGCGGACGTTTTCCCTTCCCGCCTCGAAGCCCATGAATGCTGCGGGCGGCTGGGCCCCCATCTTGGATCTCGTCGGAGGGACAGGAATATCGTTGTTCATCTTCAGGCTAAATCTGAGTTGCATGGACGGGGAGGGGGGAGGGGATGGCGAGGCCCAGAAGAAACCCTGGACTTCCTGCAAGTCCGAACCCACCTGCCCGCCGCTTCGGCCCCTGAACTGCTCCGAGGAGGCGGCGGAGGGCGGGGGAGGGACCCCCCAGGCGGGTCACCTTGCTCGAGCTCAGCGGACCAGTGCTCCAGAAGAGAGGCGCGGAGGGAGGCCCAGGGGCGGACCACGGGACCACCCCGCAGCCCCGCGGGGCCCCGCGCAGCCATTATGGCCCTCGGCCCTCCGAAGCTCGAGGGGCACGGCGGCCCGGCCGCGGAGCCCTCC